GGAAATATCCTCTCACTTTTTCATACTTTTAATTTAAAACTATTTAAGAGAACCAAGGTTCTGATTATTGTATATATTTTTCTAAAAATCAAATAAAGCTACCTATGAAAATGATCACATGGATTTACTGCTTGTAAATTTTAAGTGTGGTGGGGTGAACGCACAGAGGAATCCAAGACTGGCGTCAGTGGTGTAGTTTTATAGCTCTTTATTTTAGTATTGCAGCTCTTTGTTCAGTGTTACAGTGCCTCTTTTTGCTTGCAAGCAAGGAGAGCACTGGAGGGCAGAAAACTCCCAAGCCAGTGTCTGCCAGAACAAGGGAAACGACCCCCTTATACAGCCTAAATTCCTGCCTGCCCCCCTCCTAGGTTCTCATTCAGGTCCTCTTATGTAAATGAGGGATGCTGTCCTGCTAATTTGGGTTGGCCCATTGTGGGACACAGTCCATTGGTCACTTTAGGAGCCTAATTTGCCTCTGGCCCCTGGGGGAGGGGTGTTAGACTGCTGTTATCTCACAGAAGGCGGGTCCAAGAAGCAAGCAGGGTAAATGGCCAGTGGAGCATGGAGTTTCTAAAACAGTTTCTCAAGTGGAAAAGGGAAAAGCTCAACAATCTAAAATGCTTAGGGTTCTCTGCAACATTAAGCTTAAATCATTTCACTGTTGAAATGATTTAAAAATCACTGTTGAAATGATTTAAAAATCACTAAGAAAGACTTGATAGTGATTTTCTCCCTGTTTTCTTTTAAACAGAATCCTTGGGATTGTGTAACTTAAAAACACAGATTCTGCTCATATTGCTACATGTTCATTGAAGTTACTCTATGATTGGAAAACATTTTTAAATTTATATATAATTTTTACTATTTCAGGAACGTTAGCCTTGATTCTGTATTAATAGCATTTGACTAGATTCCCAAAACATTTGATCATTCAATGATCAATGATAGGAAAGAAACTTTACAATATTCAAACATTAAAATGAACATTGAATGTACGTTAGTTTTGCTTTTGGATTATTTAAGTTTTTTAAAAAGGCGAAACATTATTTTTTCAAATTTTTAATTTTTTTATTTAAAAAAATAGAAATTTTAATGAATTTCTGTTTGTAAAATAAGTCTCCCTGTCTTCCCTGACCTCCCAACCCAACTCCTTCTGAAGATAACTACGTACCAGTTTCCTGTATATTCTCCAAAATATTCTTTGCATATATTAGCACATGAGTATGTTTATATCACCCCACCTTTTTTTTTTTTTTTGAAGATGACTGGTAATGGGCCGGCCCCATGGCTCACTCGGGAGAGTGTGGCACTGGTGGCGCCGAGGCCGTGGGTTCGGATCCTATATAGGGATGGCCCATACGCTCGCTGGCTGAGCGTGGTGCAGACCACACTGTGCGGAGGGTTGTGATCCCCTTACTGGTCAGAAAAAAAAAAAAAAGATGACTGGTAAGGGGATCTTAACCCTTGGCTTGGTGTTGTCCGCACCACACTCTCCCAAGTGGGCCACGGGCCACCCCTCACCCCATATTTTTTTTTTTTTTTGTCTTTTGTCTTTTTCCGTGTCCGGCAACGGATCGCAACCCTCAGTGTTGCCCCGTACCGGACCGGGGACCGGCAACGGGATTGCAACCCTCGGCGTCGCTCCCGCGCCTCGCTCAGCCAGTGAGCGGGAACCGGTCTGTATGTGGGATCCGAACCCTCGGGCGGGAGCGCCGCCGCGCTTCCCAAGCGGCGCACCATCCAGTGCACCACCAGGCCGGCCCGCCCCATATTTTTATATAAGAGTCTGTATAGCATTCTAGTCTATTGATCTATAATAATATATTTAAATAGTTCCTGGTAAATAGATTGTATCTAATCTTTCACTACTTCCAGAAAAGAAGTCTGTAATGAACAACCTTTGAGCATGTCGACATTTTGTGAATCTAGAAAAAAATTATTAGAAGTGAAGTCAAAAAGCTAAGTGTTTTGCTACTACCATCTTCCAGAAGTTTCCAGACACACTCCCACTAACAACATATGATGCCTATTTTCTCATACCCATGCCAGTAAACTTTTCAACCCTGTGAAAATAATAGGAAAAAAATGTAATTTATATTTGCATTTCATTTGTTAATAAGGTTGAATATTTCTTAATCTGTTAGCTGTTTGTATTTTCCTTTACCTATTTTCTTTTTTAAGAGCTCTAGTAGTTAGGAAATTCACTTTTACAATTAGAAATTGTATTTTTTCCCAGATTATCTTAATTTTTACCTTTTTTTTTTTTTTTTTTTTTTTTTTTTTTTTTTTTTTTTTTTTTTTTTCC